GAAAAAAAAAAAAAAAAAAAAAAAAAAAAAAAAAAAAAAATCCCCAGTCTGCTGGGCTCTTCCAGGGAGTAAGTTTTATTTGCTGAAACTGGCCAGTTGCTTACTCTGCTCCCTTCATCCAGGCCACACCCCAGACTCAGACCACTCTAGCAGTGAGAGAGGCGAGCCAGGGCACACAGGACAGCAGGGTCAGCAGATGATCTGAGCAGAGCTGAGTGGTGAATGGGACTGTGCATCTCTTACCTAGCTTCTCAGGCCACACAACTGCTCCCTGGTCCAGTGGACCTCATCAGCTGCAGGAGAGTCATGAGGGATCTCAGGAGCAATCAAGCACGCACATCGGAAGGCCAAGCCTTCCCTGCACCCCAGCCATGTGGAAGGAAATCCCCAGGGACCACCCCACAGGACATCCCATCTTTTAACCACTTGCCAGACACTCTGAAAGTACCATTCCCTGCACTGTGCCCCCAAGTAACAGCATTCTTGCTGGAGAGGTAGGGCTGTTTTTAACCTGTGGACAACCAGTAGGTTCAGAGGATCCCAAAATGCCCAGAAATTGGGTGTGTGTGCGATTTTGTGGAGAAAAAGTCTAGAGTTTTCATCAAAATTTTAAAGGTAGGGGAAGTCCTTGCTCAAAATGGTTAAGAATCACTATATTAGAGGCCAATACTACACGTTGCTCTCTTGAGGGTTTTTTAAAAAGTCCATTCAATAATCTTAATTCAACAAATAGCTGAATTGTTCTCTGTGCCAGGTGCAATGCTAGGGGATGGGGATGCATTGATGAGCAAGACCAGATGTAACCTCTGTGTCATTGAGGGATGCAGATATGAATTTAAAAAATCACACAAATGCATGTCTTATTTCAAATCAAGTATTGTTCTGAAGGAAAGGAACCTGGTTCTATGAGGGATATAACTTAGTGGATGTTTAGTTTTTGTTCTTATATATTTATTTATTTATTAATAGGTAATGCATTCATGTTAAAGAAATTCAAAGGGATTATATAGTGAAAAATGCCCTCCCTTAATCCCCTCTCTGAAGGCCATGTGCATGTTTTACAGACTAGTAGCCTTCTGCTGTTAGACCGGGAGGAAAAGAGAGAGCTTACCTGAGGATATGACACTTAAAATGAAATTTGAAGAATGAATGTGAGTTAACTGTGAAGAAGACTGGAAGGGGGTAAGGGAAGCACTCTAGACAGGGGGAACAGCTTGTGCAAAGGCCATGTGGTGGAAGACAGCTTGGTGTATTAGAAGAACTAAAGAAAGCCTGTGTGGCTGGAGGGCAGAAAGCAGGAGGAAGAGAGGTCCAGGATGCTGCTGCGGGTGGTGGGGAAGATACAGTCTTGTAGCCTGCTTGGCAATATAGACTTTTCCCTCAGGGCTCTAGGAAGCCACTGTAAGCTAGGGGAGATAACCTTAAATCATACTTGCATTTTTAAAATATCACCCTGGCTATAGTATGGAGAATGGGTTGAAGGAGAAAGCAGTGAATGGGCTCTTATTTAGTTCAGGTGAGACATGATATGGCTTGGTGCTTATCTTAATCAGTTTGGGCTGCTATAATAAAGCACCATTCTATGGACTGGTTGGCTTTTAAACAACAGACATTTATTTCTCACAGCTCTGGAGGCTGGAAGTCCAAGTTCAGGGTGCCAGCATGGTCTGGCTCTGATAAGGGCTCTCTTCTGGGTTGCAAACCTATTGTTGTATCTTTACATGGCAGCAAGAGGGCGAGGGAACTCTCTGGTCTCTTTTATAAGGGCACTAATTCCATTCATGAGGGCTCCACCCTCATGACCTAATCACCTCCCAAAGACTTCTTTGGTGGTTAGGATTTCAACATATGAATTTGGGGGAGATATAAACATTTAGTCTATTGCAGAGGGAGAGAGAGAGAGATTATAAGAAATATACTTGTGTGCAAGTTTCTTGCTTTTGAAAAATTTTAACAAAACATTTGCTTCTTTCAGTTGAATGGAAGAAAAATTCATAACAGTTTGCTTATAATGCAGTTAACACCTGATTATATTTTGTCCAAGCATGTGGCCAAACTGACAGGATAATTTAGTATCCTGTAAAAGGTTGATTAGACAAAGAGCTCACAGAATCTTGCTAGAAGTCATTTGGTCCAACTTCCCTCCTGAGCACCCCAAAGACATCTCACTATTGCAGGAGCCCTCTAGTGGCAGGAGGTGATTGTTGTTATATAGTCATAACAGTATGACCATGTGGGTGATGTTCACTAATTATAAAACAAATAAGTAAACATCTGATGGGTCTAATTGTTTTGGTGTTTGTACACTTGATTTTCCTTCTGTCTCCTGACACTCCCCAGAATGGCTTATTCGGAGCAACAAGGAGCTGTCCCCTGTGGTTTCCTCCGTCAGAATTCTGGCAACTCCATTTCCTTGGACTTTGAGCCCAACACAGAGTACCAGTTTGTGGAGCAGTTGGAAGAGCGCTACAAATGTGCCTTCTGCCACTCGGTGCTTCACAACCCCCACCAGACGGGCTGTGGGCACCGCTTCTGCCAGCACTGCATCCTGTCCCTGAGGTGAGTGATCAGGGCCTGCAGCAGGCCAGTCCCAATGGGGTATTCCTGGCATCTAAATGTCAGTTGTGGCCACTCAACTGTAATCATGGTTTTTTGGATTGCTGTGGTTGGCCACAGAACCACAAATATGAGGAGGGGCTCTCCTAGGGCCCCTCTGTGAGGGCCTGAAGAGTAATCTCTTTTGCAACTCTTTGACAAAAATTCAGACTACACCTGTTTTGCATGGGAGAACAGACCTAGATGCAGTCTGCTATGGGGAGTTGGCTGCTGGGAAGGGCCTGTATCTCACGGTGCCTGTCTTGTAGTCACCCTGACCTTGCCTTGCCTTGAGGCAGAGATGCTGTCATATCTAGAAGGAACATCACTGCCTAGGATGCTGTCCATTTCTAGGCACCTGTAAAACCTGGGCCATGCCATTTTGAGGGAGGAGCCCAGGAGAGACATGGAAGCAGGCTTTGGGGGCTCATGTAGGGGCAATAAGCCAGTTGTGCCCTGCTGAGCTTTGAAAGGGTGTTATTATAGCACATTCTCATTCATTCATGTGTTCTTGCATGCAGCACTGTGTGTTCCAGGCATCTTGCTCAACTAAGCTCTCATGTACAGAGTGAAGAGTAGAGGTACAGTGTGGAAGATGCCAGTGTCTGCCCTCTACAATGTCCCAGTCTAGTGAAGGAGACAGATTATGGCACAGTGTGATAAACAAAGGATGGGGCATTTAACTCTGTCTGGGGCACTCAGGGTTTGACTGCATCCTGGAGGATGAATGGAAGTTTTTCAGGCAGACTGAAAGACTGGGGAAGTGCTGAAGGAGGGGTCCAGCGGGAGCCTTCTGGGTAGGGGGAACAGCATGTGCAAAGTAGGGACTGGCCTGCTCAGGGATGGAGCGTGGCTGGAATGCTGGGACTGCTCTTGGAAGAACCGTTGAGGTAGACACCTAACTTTGGCTCCATTTTTATTTTTCTCTCCAGAGAATTAAATGCAGTGCCAATCTGCCCTGTAGATAAGGAGGTTATCAAATCTCAGGAGGTAAGAAAATCACTGTTTTGGTTTCATAGCTGTCTGGGTGACGGAGAAGCAGCCAGTGTCCTGGGTTGAATTGGACATCGAGTTGGAGCAGAAGAGTGGTCAAGGCGGACCGTCCTTGGAGTCCATATTCCTCTGCTGTAGGGTCAGGTCAGACCCTGCTCCCACCCCAGTTTCAGGGAGGCTTGTTTGGGCCTTTATTGACCACCCCCTCTCCCCCATGTCCCCACCCCCAGGTCTCCTCTCCTGCTTTCTCCTCACTCCCTTCCTACACTAGCTGCAGCCACATTGAGCTGCTGGGAGAAATGAAGCATCCTGTTTCCTGGAATTCACTTTCTCATCTGTTTAATCCCTCAAACGTCCTTTTATTATTATTTAATAACAGTTCACATACCATAGAATTTACCTTTTAAAGTGTATAATTCTGTGGATTTTAGTATATTCACAGAGTTGTACAGCCATCATACTAGTTTTAGAATATTGTCTTCACACCGATAAGAAACCCCATACCCATTGGCGGTCACCCCCCATATGCCCTTCTCCCCAAACCTTGGAAACCTCTAATCTAATTTCTACTTCTATAGATTTGCTTATTCTGGATATTTCATATAAATAGAATCATATAATATGTGGCTTTTTGTGTTGGGGTTCTGTCACTTAGCATGATGCTTTTATAGTTTACCCATGTCTTCATTCCTTTTTATTGCTGAATACCATTCCATTGTATGGATATACCATATTTTGTTTATCCATTTATCAATTAATGGACATTTGGGATGTTTCCACTTTGGGGCTATTATAAATAATGTTTCTATGAATATTCATGTACAAGTTTTTATGTGGTCCAACGTTTTAATTCTTCTTGGTTATATACCTGTGTATGGAATTATTAGGTAATATGGTAACTGTGCTTAACACTCTGAGAACTGCAAGACTGTTTCCCAAAGCAGCTGCACCATTTCACATTCCAACCAGCAGTGTGTGAACGTTCTGATTTCTCCAGATCTCCTTCAAAAATTGTTATTCTCAGTCTTTTTGATTATATTTTTCCTAATGGGTGTGAAGTGGTATTTATTTGTGGTTTTGATTTACATTTCATTGATGGCTAATGATGTTGAATATCTTTTCATGTGCTTATTGGCTATTGTGTATCTTCTTTATAGATATGCCTATTCAATTCCTTTGCCCATTTTTTAATTGGGTTATTTGTTTTTTATTGTTGAATTGTAAGAGTTCTTTATTCTGGATTTAAGTCTCATCATATACATGGTTTGCAAATATTTTTCTCCTATTCTGTGGGGTGCCTTTTCATTTTCTTAATGGTGTTCTTTGAAGCACAAAAGTTAGATGAAGCCCACTAGTTTCCTTTTTTTCTTCTTTTTTTGGTTGCTCGTTCTTTTGGTGTTTTATCTAAGAAAACATTGCCTAACCCATGGTCATGAAGATTTTCTCCCTTAAAACTTTCCTTTAAGTTCAGTTTTTTTCCTTTAAAATTCTGTTGCAAGATGTTCCAGCACCATCTCCTCCAGGAAGCTTTCCCTGAGCACCTAGTCTGATGTACATGTTCCTTTCCTATACGCCTTATGATGCATTTTGCAAATGCCTACCAGAGGGCTGCACCGCACTTGGTATTTGTCTGACTCACTATCCAGGGTGTTGGCATACCACAACCTTGGGACAAATCCAGCCTGCCACCTGTTTTTGTATGGCCTGTTAGCTAAGAATATGGTTCTTACATTTTTTTTTTTTTTTTAAAGATGACCGGTAAGGGGATCTTAACCCTTAGCTTGTTGTCAGCACCACACTCAGCCTGTGAGCTAACCGGCCATCCCTATATAGGATCTGAACCTGCAGCCTTGGGGTTATCAGCACCGCACTCTCCTGAGTGAGCCACTGGCTGGCCCTTGGTTTTTACATTTTTAAATGGTTGAAAAAGAGGGTACATAGAAACCCTTCTATTTTTGCAACTTCTTATGAGTCAAAATATTTATTTCAAAATAATAATCTATTTCAAAAAAAAACAAGAGTAATGTTTTGTGACACCTGAAAATCGTGTGAAATTCAAATTTCAGCGTCCATAAATAATGTTTTAGTGGAACACAGCTGTGCCCATTCATTTAAGCATTGTGAACTGCAGAGTTGAAATACGGCAACAGAGATGGTTGTAATGTGGCTTGCAAGGCTGAAAATAATTACTATGTGACCCTTTACAGAGAAAGTTTGCCAACCCCTGGCTTGTACTGCAATAGCAAGTCAGCACAGCTGCAGTGATGCTGTTTGATCAGAAATACAGATGTTTACCCTGGGACAAGAGGCTGAAAGCATCTCCCTTGTCCACAGCCCCACCTCCTGACCTTTGAGCATGTGGGGTCAATTTCACCATGAGATTCTGCTAGCTGCAGCCTGCTGCACTGGGCACTGAGTTAGCTGGCATGTGTGTTTGGTGGCTTGTCAGAAGTATGTATCTGAGATAGCCTTTTCTTTTAGTGTGGTGGTAAGCGTGATATTTCCATGCCAACCACTGTGTGGAAGTTTCCACCCAACTTTTAAGATATACTTGAAGGCCAAACTAATAATATCTTCATTTGCATTTCTGTAAAGCTTTGGAGTGTGTGAGACCTATCATGTTTATCTTCTAGGTATTTAAAGACAATTGCTGCAAAAGGGAAGTCCTCAATTTATATGTATATTGCAAAAATTCTCCTGGATGTAATGCCAAGATTATTCTGGGAAGATACCAGGTTGGTATTACTCATGAGCAATATTTGCCTTTGCCATTTTTCCAGTTTCGTGTATTGAACCCCTTTATGTGACAGTTTCTGGGCTAAACATGGTAGGGGAACTCACTGGGTTGCCCTCAGAGGATTCCCTGTCTAGCAATAGTTAGCTACAGCGCTACAGCACGCCACAGGCTAAGGTATATGTGAAGAGGTTCTTTCTGTATGGAGCGCAGGAAGAATATGCTGTACCCTAGACCTTAAACTGTGGATTAGGGGTCACTGAGCCAAAAGAGAGGGTGTGGGACATGCTCTGCAAAAGGAAGAACTTGTTATTTTGAGGGAACTGAAAGATTTGGTGTCCTTAGGGTGGGAGTCAGGGGATGACTGTAGAATGACGTGGTTGTGGAGGTCCCTCCCTAAAAGCATTTGCTCTCTTACCAGGTGCTGTCGTGGGTGTTTCCCAGCAGCTATGGGCCCTGGCCTCGCAGGGTTTATGATCTACGGCAGATCATTCAGACCACGACAGAGAAAGGATGTGGTTTAAAGTTGAAGCATCTATATGAGATGCAAACAAACAAGGTGCAGGGGAAGTGTAGGTGCAGGGGAGTTGACTTCCTTTCGCATGAAGCTACCCTAGGTGCTCTTCCATCCAGCTACGGAAGATTGTTACATGGGCAGCTGGAAATGTGGCTCCGCCTGGCAGGCCCATAGCAGGTTCGATCACACTAGAAATGAATACGACTCAGCCATCTCTAGCTTACAGGGAAGTGCCTGGAGGCCGCTGAAATTTCCCCCACACCCACACGTTTTGGAACATGTCTTTCAGATGCTTCAGTCTTTTCTCTGTCACACCTCCAAATCCCCCTAGGCACTGAGCTTACATATGTGACAGTGATTTCCTTGTTAATTCAGATGTTTCTTGGGAGCTTCATGGAACTTCTTTTGTGTTTTTTTTTTTTTTTTTTTAAAAAAAGATGACCGGTAAGGGGATCTTAACCCTTGACTTGGTGTTGTCGGCACCACGCTCACCCATTGAGCTAACTGGCCATCCCTATACGGGATCCGAACCCGTGGCCTTGGTGTTATCAACACCGCACTCTCCCGAGGGAGCCACGGGCCGGCCCTTTTTTTGTGTTTTTTTTTTTTTTTAAAAAAAAGATGACCGGTAAGGGGATCTTAACCCTTGACTTGGTGTTGTCGGCACCACGCTCACCCATTGAGCTAACTGGCCATCCCTATACGGGATCCGAACCCGTGGCCTTGGTGTTATCAGCACCGCACTCTCCCGAGTGAGCCACGGGCCGGCCCTTTTTTTGTGTTTTGATGTCAGTCCTTTGCCACCTGTTTTAATAGTCAGGTCCTAGAGCAAGGGCTATTTTCCAACTTTGTTGCCACTAAGCCTGAAAAGGAAAGGAGCCTCAGATGGACCATTTAACAGCTTTAGTGACCAGATTACTGGCTTCTGGAGAACAGGGGCGGGTTTCCTTCCATCTGTTTCTTTTGTACTTCCTTCATTCCTTGTCCCCCCACTGCCTTGGGAGGTAAGGTGTAGAATATTACAGGTAGCAGAGTTTTGATGAATTTTGACCATTTTGGTGAGAGTTGAGGAGTAATATCAATGAATTGTAGAAAAGATGTGGATTTCAACTGCCATCACCATTTGTTTCTTACTACCAGAGGTGACGGAGAATTGCTATAATTTATTTATCTCACTGTAGAAAAACTGTTCTCTTTTCCTTCAGAGAAGGCGTCAGTGAACTGTTTTTGTTAAGAGCCAGACAGAAAATATTTTACGCTCTGCAGGCCATACGGTCTCTTTTGCAGCTACTCAGCTCTCCCACTTTAGAGGGAAAGCAGCCGTAGACCATAAGTGAAGGGATAGTGCTCTAATAAACCTTTTTTACAAAAGCAAGTAGGCCTTTGAGCCTTAGCTTGCTAACCCTGTTTTAAAGGATCCCAAGGGAGACAAGTTCACTAAGATTTTGGTAACTTGTCAGCATCACAATAACTTTCAGTGATCCAAAGATTTGTATTCGTCTAGAATGTGAAGAATGCTGGAATGACCACTGTCTATGTCTTTGTTCTCTAATATTTCTAATTAAAAGTATTTCCTGATTTTACAAGTCTGACCATTCCTAGCTTCTCTTGTGCCTGTGAGCCTGTATTTCTTCTGTCTCCTTTTCTTTACTACTCCTGGGCCAGCTTCCTCTTCCTTTTCTTCCTCCTAATCCTTTCTCTTCCTTTGTTGAGTTAGGATATGCCTTTTTCTCCTTCCTTCTTTTCCCTCTGTCCTGTCTTTTAGCATCTGCTGTGCGGAGATCAGTACTTGGTGCTGGGGGTGGGGATGGAGAGTGAACAAAAGAAATAAAAATGTCTTTGAAGAACTGATAAATTAATTGGTGAGCCTCAGGAAAATATCCAAGAATTAACCTGAGGATATGAGCATATTACTAGATCATCTCAGACAAACTTGACATACTTCCCTCTTCACCCATCTTTCCTGTCCTCATTTCCACCAAGCAAGGCTGGCTTTCACAGCCTCCAGTCCAAGCAGTCCTTGTTCTCAGTGGATGGCCTTCACTGAGAGCCTGCTGGCAGAGGCTGCTCTCTGCCCTGCCCTGGGCGAGCCTTTTTGCCCAGCTGCCTGCCCTGTTCTCTCTCCCTTGCCAGGCCTTCCAGCTGGCTCCCCTGTTGCTGCCTTGGTCAGTGGGGCTCACTGGACTGTTGTCTGTTGCAGGAGCACCTTCAGCAGTGCTTATTTCAAGACGTGCAGTGTCCTAATGAGAACTGTCAGGAACCAGTCCTACGGAAAGATCTGAAAGAGCATTCAAGTGCATATTGTCAATTTCGAGAGGAAAAATGCCTTTATTGCAAAAAGGATGTGGTGGTAATCAATCTACAGGTAAAAAAAGCAGAACAAACTAATTATCTTTATGGGGCTGAATTATACCAGAGTGGTCAGTGAATTAGGTAGAATCCCAGAAGCACATTTCTGCATTTATTTTTGTACAGAATCAGCCTAAAGAATTAGTTTATCTGAGAGAAGTTCTGTGAAAAGCTTAAAACCTTCTTGTTGGCAGGACTCAATTTATCATTGGCAAAAATATGAGGGTACTTCACAAAGTTCGTGGAAAGGTTTGTATTATCTTTTAATTCAATTTTCTCATGAACTTTTTAAAGTACCCTCGTATGAATGTGGAAGGAGTGATGCCAGGCACTGGGTCACAAGGAGGGGACAATAATGTCTGCCCTCCAGATTCTATAATCTAGCTGGAGAGGCACAATGTAGCCATAAAAATAAAGCATGGGGCACCTTTTACATATGCCAAAGGAGCCATGCTGGTAATTCCCCAATCTGCCTTGTTTGAGTCCTGTGTCCTCTGACCTTTCTTTTGGCATAATTGGAAAAGTAAATTTTTTAGTTGAATTTACACCAAGAAAGCAGACATCTTTAACTCTCTTTGGAAGTAGGCCATAACTTTCTGTAGAGGATAGGCCACAAAACCTATATCCCCAAGGAAACATTTGTGTGACCACGGTGAGGATTATATAATAATTATATGATTATATATAGAAGAGAACCCTTGGTTTTCTTTCATTACACTTTCTCTTTTTCAGAATCATGAGGAAAACTTGTGTCCTGAGTATCCCATATCTTGTCCCAACAAGTGTTTGCAGATTTTTCCAAGAACTGAGGTAACTGTAAATAATCCTCTCCATAGATTTTTGTGTAAGATAAAGATTTAGTAATAATTGTGGCGTGTATTTAATAAAATCCCATAGGCAAAGGCCCAAGGCTTAAATGATACCCATGATAACTATGTCTGTGTCTTCCCTGCCCCGTTCTCTACAAACTCTTCTCAGTTTTCATCCTGGCTCTTCCTCGCCAGGCATTTCTCCCTCTCCTGGTCCCTTCCTTCTTCCCAAGCTGTCCTTGGCTCCCTGCTTGCTGCAGTTATACCGGGCAGTTGGAGAATCGGTGATGAATTTCTATAGCTTGAGGCTGTACATTTCGTAGGTGAATGAACACCTTGCTGTGTGTCCTGAAGCCGAACGAGACTGTCCTTTTAAGCAGTATGGCTGTACTGTAAAGGTATGGAATGCCTTTTTGTTTCTGCCTTTACATTCTACTGTACAGTTCACTTGGTGAGTTCATTTTACTCTTTGATTCCTTTCAGGATGCAGAAGAACATACAATCTAAGAACTTTAAGACTGTAATTCTGTTAGTCATGGATCACCTGGAACACCTAACATTTGCTTTTACTAGTAATATAGGCAATTTGCAAATAAATACTTTCATGATCAGGGAAAAAGTGATTATTCCTTCTTGCAAATGTATTCTATGATTTTGTGTGCACCAAATTTGCATGGGCTGAAATTAAAAGATTGCTTCCCTTCTGCCTGTGACAGCAGGACAGTGATGGGAGAAATCTGTATAGAAATGTGCTTGCTAGGAGGGAGATCCAGCCTAGGCTTAAAATTGATCTGGAGATGATCCACCAAGGACATAGGTTTTGTATGGGAATAGTTAAGAGATGCTAATAACTACATTTAACCCACAGTCATACACTCCCAGGGCAAGGAAGGAAATCAGCACTGAGGATTTTGATAGTGGCCTCATTCTCTGTCTGTAAGTTTGATACTGTCTCATGAGTACTGTAGAATCCTAAAGCTGGAAAAGGGACCTGGCAGTCATTTTTCCTGCAGCCCACCTAGACACAGGTGCATGTTTTAACTTTTTTTTTTTTTTTTTTTTTGGTGGCTGGCCGGTACAGGGATTGAACCCTGCACCTTGGTGTTATCAGAGCCATGCTCTGACCAACTGAGCTAACCGGCCTGTTTAAACTATTAAAGTAAGCAAAGTTGATAAGTTTCTGTGTTAGCAGAATATCTCACCACCTCCCTCATCTTCAGAGCCTCTTAACAACCTGACTCATTTTTCTCCTCCTATTGAAGGACAAGCGGGGGAATCTGAAAGAACATGAGCATTCAGCCTTGCGGGACCACATGCTTCTGGTTTTAGAAAAGAACCACCAGTTAGAAGAACAGGTAAATATTCAAGGGTTCAAATAGAAAGGGAGGCAACAGAATTGGTGGGATTTGCCTGCTCTATGTTCGTATGAGGATACTTCAAAAAATTCTTGGAAAGATTTGTATTTTTTGTTTAATTCTATTTTTCCATGAACTTTTTGAAGTACCCTCATGCTTTTATATTCCCCTCTGTTTCAGTGTAAGTCAACTGGAGGTGGGTGTTTTTTCATTAAGTGGCAAAACAGGCTGATAGGATTATAGAACATTAGAACTGATGGTGCCTTTGAGATCTTTGGGTCCAACCCCCTCATTCAATAGATGAAGTAACTAAGCTCAAAGAAATTTTGAGGAGTGTTAACTTCTAAGTGGCAGAATTCAATCTCAAACCTACGTCCTCTGATTCTAAGTCCAGTGCTCCTCATGGTATACTATACTATCTCTTGACAGTCCACTCACACACCTTTTGGTTAATACCTGGCACCTGGTAGGTGTTTGATTTTTTAAATTAAATCAATATTACTGTGAAACAGCAGTTGACTCTCTGTTCTAGGCACTATGGACTTTATATATTTTGTAGTAAGTCGAAACTCCTGTCTTTAAGAAACTTTGCAATCTGATAAATGCATGCATACATACTTATTTCTTTGAGTTGTGATTATCAAGTGAAATTACATGTGCAAATGCCTGCCATAGTGCCTGGGGCATTCATAGTACACCTCAATAAATGCTGATTCCATTGAGCTATTATTATAAAAGTTAATTATTTTGTTAGAACATCTGAGAAGATTGGACTTTTTTCTTTTTTCTGTTTTTTGGCAGCTGGCCAGTATGGGGATCTGAACCCTTGACCTTGGTGTTATATCACCCCGCTCTAACTGACCGAGCTAACTGGCCAGCTTGAAGATCAGAATTTTCAAGTCCACATGGGGAAGAAAACCATCCATCTTCCGACAAGGAGCTGAGTTTTACTATGCGGTTTATTTTATGATGTCTGATTCTATATTAAAGTAGGTGTGTGAGTTCCAGGGTCAGATCCTGGAGAACATTAGAAAGACTGATGAAATGATGCATTTGGTAGAAGGCATGCTGTCTAGTGACTGTTCCCCAGTTCTTTTTGTATCGTTGCCTCATTCATCCTTTCATTCAAGAGACACCTACCATATATCAGGTCCAATGTTCATTGCTAGGGACACTGAATCAAGGAAGACATATCCTCCCTTTGCACAACTCAAAGAAATGTAAGCAGAGAAGTTAATGCGCCAAGCAGAACATGGTGTAACTCAGGCTGGGGTACACAGGATGTAGCAATTTACCCTGGGGGAGTTGGGGAGGGTTTTTCAAGGTAGGACATCAAAGCTGAATTTTGAAGGAAGAAAGGGTTCATCAGTTAAAATGTTGTGGAAGGAGGACATCCAGAATGGGAGAGCTTGCACCAAGGCAGCGAGGCATGACAGATGTTGATGGCTCAAGGAAATGAGATTTTAGGGTGAATGGACCCCTGAGTGTAGGAAAGGGAATGGTTGGAGACTGGTGTGTTGGATCCAAATTGCAATGGCCTTCCATGTGAGCTAAGAAGTGTCCAACACTCTCAAAAAAATTGTACTCAATTTTTTTTTATTTATTCACACAGCCTTATTTCAGAAAGGATATAAGGGCCAAAAGTTTGAACTAATGTTTGTCAGTAATAGGAAACTAATGGAAATTTTAAAATAAGAAAATACCTGACCAGCTAATTGTTCATTTGGTGTTTAAAAGTAAGAGGGCTGGTAATAGCATGGCAGTGGATGAGAGTGAGTGCTCTGGAGCTGGATGCCTGGGTATTCAGCCTGCTGCCACGTCACCTCTCCCCCAGGGTGATGGAGACACAAAGGATTACTCAAAGCCCATTTCTTCTGAGCAGTGAGAGGACCGAAAACAGTTACCCCCAGGAATAATTCTTTCAAGAGAAGAAAGATCCTGGGAATAGCCCTGAATCAGGTTCTCTCTTTGTTTTTATTCTCCAGGCAAGAAAGTTATAGAAAAGGAACATAGGTGGTTTACAGTAAGATATTTGTCATGGCAACAATCATTACGTTTAGTTGCACCAAGGACATCTGCCCTTAGAGCCAGTATTTTTGCTGTGTTACAATTCTTTATCTACAACAGAGACTTTAGCCTGGGGAAAGTTTTCTGTCTTTCCCAAGCTTAACATTGCTATGTGCAATTCTAAAAAGTTAGGCCCTGTGAAATACATTTGCTTTATTAATATTGGTATCCTCCACACTGCTATACCAGCCATATGAGTTTGGGCAAGCTGCTTCACCTCTCTCTTCCCCAATTTCCTCATTTGTAAGTGGGGTTATAGTGAGGGTAAAATGAGATGATATGTTTAAACTCTTAGCACAGTGCCTAGCACATAATAAACATTTCAATATTAGGTTAGCACAAGATGCTGGTGGTGGTGCTGGTGGTGGTGGTAAAAGCGAAGGCTCATCCAAGACCATGTCAGTGGGATACACAGGGCATCGAGAGACACTGTGAGGTTGCAGTGGCATGCTGTAAGCTTGGAAGGCAGGAAACATGGGAATGTAATGCCAAGATTGGCACTACAAGAAGAGGAGCAGATTAGAGGTGAGAGTGGGGAGAGGAGTCACCGAGTTTGCTTTTGGTCTGGTGGGTAGGTGGAAGTCAGTTCTAGGGGTCTAAATAGAGGTTCTGGGACCAAAGATCAAACAGGTGTTGCAGCCATTTGTGCATTCTTTCATAGAACATGTATCAAGTGCTCTCTGTGTGCCGGGCACTGTGCTAGGCTCTGGTGATAAAGAAATAAGTGAGATGTAGCCTCAAGAAACAATTTAGGGGGCCGGCCCGTGGCTCACTCGGGAGAGTGCGGTGCTGATAACACCAAGGCCACGGGTTCGGATCCTATATAGGATGACTGGTTAGCTCACTGGGTGAGCGTGGTGCTGACAACACCAAGTCAAGGGTTAAGATCCCCTTACCGGTCATCTTTTTTAAAAAAAAAGAAATGCTGACAACACCAAGTCAAGGGTTAAGATCCCCTTACCGGTCATCTTTTTTAAAAAAAAAGAAATGCTGACAACACCAAGTCAAGGGTTAAGATCCCCTTACCGGTCATCTTTTTTAAAAAAAAAGAAATGCTGACAACACCAAGTCAAGGGTTAAGATCCCCTTACCGGTCATCTTTTTTAAAAAAAAAGAAATGCTGACAACACCAAGTCAAGGGTTAAGATCCCCTTACCGGTCATCTTTTTTAAAAAAAAAGAAAAAAAGAAACAATTTAGTAGAGGAAAAAAGACCAAAACCACCACCAACAAAAAGCAAGTTATAAGAGTGATGTTATCCACTAGAGTATGGACAGGGTATCATGGAACTTGAGAGGTGGTCTGGATGGGTGGGGCTATTAAGGAAATATTCCAAGAGGATGTGCCTTTGAGTGGAGGCTTAAAAAGTGGTATTTTTAGATGAAGCGGGAAATGTCTGAGAGAGCAGGGCCTGATGGGAAATAGGAGCTGTGTTGTCTTGTGGGCAGGATGCATGTGGGCTGTGAATGGGCATGAGGCTGAAAGGGTAGTCAGGGGCAGATCGTGTAGGGGCCCAGTGTGGCCCGTAAAAAAGGCCACTGGAGACATTTAAGAAGGGGAGACACAACACCAGATTTGTCTCTTAATATTATTCTGGCCACAGTATGGAGTATGAATTGGAGAACAAGACTAAAGACAGGGAGAACATTCATTCAACAAATATTGATCAAGCACCTACTGGTGCCAGGCAGTAATCCAGTTGTTGGGATTACAGTGGACTGTGAGATCCATGCCACTCCCAGTTCCCATGGAGCTGACATTCTGGTGTGTGTCAGGGATAATAGGGATAGTGTAGGACCGGTTAGGAAGCTGTTGTAGCAGCCCAGGTGAGAAATAATGAAGGCTGAAACTAGTGCTAAAATGAGATGGGATGAAGTGAGAAATGGATGTAAGAGGGGTTTTTTTTGTTCGTTTTTGTATTGTGTGTTAGGAGTTAAAGTTGGCAAGTATTGCAAATTAAATGGATGGGGGAATAAGAGAAAAGTTATCTAGGATCACTCTTAAGTTTCTGGTTGTCTCCCTCATATAGATTACAAATTCTGAGTAAATACACTATCCATTTGTTTTGTCTATCACTTGCTAGATGGACAGGTTAATTAAACTCTCTACCTCTGTTTCCTCGTCTGAAAATGGAACTAATATTCATAGGTATATCATAGGGTTCTTTGAGGATGAAAAGAGCTAATGAATATAGGAGTATGAAAAACATTCAGCAAATTTTAGCTATTATTACTATTGATACTGTGCATAGAACATCTGATGTGGTATGGTTATCAGTACTCTGTGGTGGTTTAATAAGTACATACTGAATGAATGAAGAGAACCAGTTCAGTAAATTCTGTCAAGTGATGTCACTATCATATGAACAATCATAGTGGGTTAGGTATAGAAAAGGCTAAGAAATTCTGTGGATCTGGTTTTTTGGAACCACCTGCAAATATTTTCCTAGAATTACATAGGGATCTACCTGTATTTTCCTAGAAATATGTATGTATATTTTTTCCTAGAAACGCTTTCTTACCTGCAAGTACTATTTTAACTTGCATGCATGCATTTTAATGACCTTATTTTTTCTCCTTCATATTTCTATTAGATTTCTGACTTATATAAGAGCCTAGAACGGAAAGAAAGTAAAATCCAGCAGCTAGCAGAAACTATAAATAAATTTGAAAAGGAGTTCAAGCAATTTGCACAGTTGTTTAGCAAAAATGGAAGCTTCCTCTCAAACATCCAGGTGAGAAATGGCCTTTCCATTCAAAGCCAGGATTTGGCTTTCAATTAGCAGTGAGGGTTTTTCTTTTAACTTTTTAAGTTGAAATAATTTGAAATATACAGAAAACCCGCAATAATAAGATGGAGCAAAGAACACCTGTATATCCTGCACTTGGATTTACCTATTGTCAGCATTTTGTCCCATTTGCTTTGTCATTTGCACCCCTTTCCCCCTTCCCCCACTTCTCTCTCTCTCTCTCTGTCTCTCTGTGTGTGTGTGTGTTTTGAGCCATTTGAGACTGCACTGTGTATATATTCTGGCCCTTTCCCTCCACATACTTCAGTATGTATTTCCTAAGTACAAAGGTCTTCTTTTACACGACTCCAGTACATTTAGCAATGTCAGCAAATTTAACATTGATGCACTCTTTTATATAATTTATGGCAATTAGAGTTTTAATTGTTGGGCCAATATTAATCACTTGATTTCAGATTCATTGAAAACATCTGTAGTTCTGCATTTTATAGTCAACAAAGTAAAACTATTAGTTTCCTTTGGAAGAAAATGCTTTAAATATCACTAAAATATATCAAAAATTACTTTGTAAGTCATGTTAAATCATAAATAAATTTCTAATGAATAATGTCTTTATCATGATTATAAAATTTATAGTAAAAAAGATTTCAAGACATGGTGTGGACAATATATTTGAAATTTGGATTATCCCAGAAAATCTAGGCCATATAATTTCCATACTTGGTCAGCACATCATTTTATACACACATACACAACACACACATATGTACATGTGTATATATGTATGTATGTATTATATGTATGTGTGTAAGAATGTGTCCAGAAAAGAGAAATCTATCATATATTATTATCTTGATTCTGACCTTTTTCTAATACAAATACTAAGCCATCAGAATTAAGGCACTTAGGGCAAGGATAGGGAGTTTTATCTAATCTCTTCCACCTAAGAGAGCAATTGAAAGTTTAGGCCTTATTTAGAGCCTCTGCACCATCTTTAGTGCTCAGGCCAGAACAGGTGAGCCTGTTCCAGCTCATTCTTTGCCTTCCAGCACAGCAGGAATGAATCAGGAGAGTAGCTTCTGAGAAGGAAGTGATAAGACAAGAGAGACAACATGAGAATAGATATATAAAGATGGGTTAGAGAAATAAGTGGAGAGAAATTGAGGGAGGGATAAAAATTAGATAAACAGAAGTTCAAAGATTTGGGACAGGAGCTGGAATAGAAGAGGAAGAGGAAGAAATTAGCTGGTTCTCTCTGATCCTTGTTGAATTTTCTCTTCTGGACTGTGTATTTTTCATTTCATTAAATGTGAAAGTTTGAGTTGAAAATATTTAATTTCAACAATTACTAAAATATTAGCTAAAAGTTTTAACATTATGATTCATTTTGTATTGAAAGGTTCTTGCGAGTCACATTGACAAGTCTGCTTGGCTAGAAGCTCAAGTGCATCAGTTATTCCAAATGGTTAACCAGCAGCAAAATAAATTTGACCTGAGGTCTTTAGTGGAAGCAATTGATACAGTGAAACAGAAAATTACCCTGCTAGAAACCAATGATCAAAGATTAGGTATGTCTAATACCTTACTTCTCTTTTGATGACTCGTTTGTCTGCATGTGTTCATGTAACAAGCAAAGACCTGGTCAGAGGGCCGGCCCATGGCTCACTTGGGAGAGTGTGGTGCTGATAACACCAAGGCCGCGGGTTCAGATCCCTATATAGGGGTGGCCTGTTAGCTCACTTGAGAGAGCGTAGTGCCGAGAACACCAAGTCAAGGGTTAAGATCACCTTACCAATCATCTTTAAAAAAAAAAAAAAAAGACCTGGTCAGATAATCACATCTCTCCAGGGTAAACACTGGCTGAATGTGTTATTTTTATTTTTAAAGATTTTCTTTTCTTTTTTTTTGGCAGCAGGCTGGTACAGGGATCGAACCCTGGACGTTGGTGTTATCAGCACCACGTTCTAACCGAGAATCTGTTATTTGTGAGACAGCAGCATAAGATTTTGGCCACTTGGGCAAAAAGAGGGAGGGCTACGAGCAGGGACTGGAAATGGGAAAGGAGTGAACACGGGCCGGGAAATCCCAAGAGCAGGGAGTAATGATTTTTAAGGAAAGTGGAAAATAATGAGAACTGTGATGGGATCATTGTTTTAGGTATGGGAAAATACAAAAGAATTTGGCTATTTAAAAGCATTCTAGTTAGAGAAGTGCGGGGCTCACCATGCTAATTCATGCTAGTTGAATGCTCAGCGTGTCTTACCTACATTTTGGCAAGTTTCACTTTCAGAGTACACATTTGGGTTTTCTTGGTGCCAGTTTGCCAAGACGTGATGTTCACCAAGTTAATATTGTTAATATGAATGGTCCATTTGTGGACAATGAATTCATTTCATCTTTAAGATGTCAGAATTTTATTGGTTCTCTTCAGGCAACAAAATTCCACTTTGGGCAAATTCTAAAGACAACTTTTAGGCCTATGGAATCTTTTTTTTTTTTTTTTTCTTTTTCTTTGCAGTTGTTTTAGAAGGGGAGACTAACAAACATGATGCCCACATTAATATTCATAAAGCACAGCTGAATAAAAATGAAGAGCGATTTAAACTGCTAGAGGGTGCCTGTTATAATGGAAAGCTCATTTGGAAGGTGACAGATTACCAGATGAAGAAGAGGGAGGCAGTGGATGGGCACACGGTGTCCATCTTCAGCCAGCCCTTCTACACCAGCCGCTGTGGCTACCGGCTCTGTGCTAGAGCGTACCTGAATGGGGATGGGTCTGGGAAGGGGACACACCTATCCCTGTATTTTGTGGTGATGCGAGGAGAGTTTGACTCGCTGTTGCAGTGGCCATTCAGGCAGAGGGTGACCCTGATGCTTTTGGACCAGAGTGGCAAAAAGAACCACATTATGGAGACCTTCAAGGCTGACCCCAATAGCAGCAGCTTTAAACGACCTGATGGAGAGATGAACATTGCATCCGGCTGTCCCCGCTTTGTGGCTCATTCCACTTTGGAGAATACCAAGAACACCTACATTAAAGATGACACCCTGTTTTTGAAAGTGGCTGTCGATTTAACTGACCTGGAGGATCTCTAGTCACTGTTTATGAGGTGATAAGAGAACTTCTTGTATCCAGAACCACAGAGAACACATTTGATTATCAAACTGACCTGGATTTAGACTTAATTTACATTTATATTTTGCTTTTTGCCCTGAATGTTTTAAATAATTCTAAAACTTTTGAATTGGTATCTTCTTTTACACTTTACTCTGTCCCAGTTTGAAACTTAAAACTCTTAGAATATTTTCATTATTTATATTTTTATATGTCATGAAAGATGGTAAGTTTCTTCAAAGCAAGTTCTGGAGCTTATCTCTTTTACTGGTGCTTAGTGCAATGTCTCAGGCACTCTATTGTAGAGCGCACTAATATTTATAAAGCAAATGTATTTCACAGGGCCTAGTTTCCAAAGCCCTGTAGTTTCAGGTTTAGCCTAACCTTTTGGAATTACATATAGAAATGTTAACCTTGCAAAGGACAGGAAACTTTCCCCAGGCTAAAGTCTCTGATAAAGAATTTAACACAGCAAAGTTGCTGGCTCAAGGACAGACAAGTTACTTGATTGTTATGTAAACATACTAAGGAAACTGCTGTAGGGAAAGTCTTGCTTTGCCTCCCATGGATTTGTCACCCGTCTTCCCCTGTGTGATGGAGCCACAAAGGATCACTCAAAGCCCATTTCTTCTGAGCAGTGAGAATCCCCAAAGTGGTTAATCTCCCAGAACCCTCAAGAGACAGGCATTCCTTCCATTTGGGAAATTAACGACAAATTGGTGTTCTCTTCTCACATTTATTCTCCAGACCAGGAAGTTACAGGAAGAGAACATAGGTGGGATTATAGTTTAACAATATAGGTTGGTAACATTCAGTAAAACAAGCAAAGTGATATTCCATAATGCAATTTGTAAGAAGTTAAGTGATCCACCAACAAAAGCTTGATCTTAGCAAACATTCCTTCTCCCCACAGCAGCTTCCCAGTATCTTTACATATCAATCAGTAACCTGTCTGTCCTTTGAGCCAGCAACCTTGCTGTGTTACAATTCTTTATCTTACAACAGAGACTATAGCCTGGGGAAAATTTCCTGTCTTTGGCAAGGTCAACATTTTATATGTACTTTTAAGAAGTTAGACTCAACCTGAAACTACAAGAAACTAGGCCCTGTGAAATATATTTGCTTTATAGTATACTCCACAGGAAAGAAAATGTTTCTTATCTGATAAGGGTATAGATTTAATACACCAAGTTTTTGGCTGGAAAACCATAAATATTTATTTGGTAGAAATAGATGAGACTCAAAGTAGGCTTTGTGTGATCTGCTCTGACAAATGAATACCTATTTACTAACCTGAATGCATAAAAATGTTCTTATCAGGGTTTACTGATCAAACAGGACTACATTTGTCTTTTCTAGAGGTCTTTTAAGTTGTGCATGATAATTTCTTGTGCTCTCTGCCTTTGAAATCCTTTGTCACTGGTTTTTGTAGTAATTTGTGATCTTCTTCAACTAAGTGTTTTAAGCCTTTGTTATTTCACAAACTTTGACAAATAACATCTCAAATGGTGCTGATTATGTTGCAGATCTATTACTAGGCACTGTCCTAAGAACATTATGTATATTAACACACTGATCTCACGACCACCTTATGAGGTAAATGCTATTTTATCCCCATTTTCCAGATGAAGCAACTGAGGCACAGAGGTTATGTGATTAGCTCTAGGTTACACAAATCCTGTTTGAATCCAGGCAGTCTGGCTTCAGAGGCTCCACTCTTAAGCACTGTACAAGACCACCTTGTATGGGTATTAATTAACTCTACACGTATATATAAAAATATAAATTTAAGTAAGTTAGAAGACTAACCACTAAAAAATCAAAGGTATAACTTCCAAATCACCAATGGAAAAAAACTGGAAAAAGAAACCTCATCAAACCAAAGGCAGAAAAGTGATGATATGTAGAACAAATAAGTTAAAGATATATGTGAATGGGTTAAATTTTACTATTAAAGGAGGAGAAATCTTAGAGGAAGGGAGGGGTATATGTACACGCTTTTAAACATCTAAAAAACAGAGCTAATAACTTCATTACTAGCTATATGTTCAGAGAAACTCTTGCACATGTGTACCAGGAGACATATACAAGAAAGTTTACTATCAGTACTGTCTGTAACAGCAAAAAAAGAAAAAAAAAAAATGGGGGAAAAATGATCTTTGTTAGCATGGATGTGGAGCAGCAGCAACACTCCTGCACTGCTGGTGGAAGGCTAAGCTGGTATAACCACTGGAGGACAAAGTGGCAATATCAAATAAAGTTGAACTGTGCAAAACCTTCCACTGTGCATGTATTAGTCCATTTCTGTTGCTTATAACAAAATACCTGGAACTGGGTGATTTATAAGAAAAAAAAAATTATTGCTTAGTTTCAGAGGCTGGGAAGTACAAAGTCCAGGGAATACATCTGGTGAAGGCCTTGTCCTGGTGGTGACTACAGCAACTCAGTCACATGGCAAATATGGTGGAGCAGAGACAGAAACTCTCACATGCTCTCCTTTTAAAGCCCTCAGAACCATGCCCATGACCACAATTATTAATCCATTCACTACAGTATGGTCCGACAATCTAATCACCTCTCTTTCAATTATCATAATAGAATTTCCCTCCCTTTTAACAGTCACAGTGGGCATCAAGCTTCTAATACATAAAACTTGGGGGACACAATTTGATCCATATCAGTGCAATTCCATTTCGAGACATACAACCTAAAGAAATTCTTAACCATATGTTTAAGAAGCCATGGGTAAAAATGTCCATCAACTCGTGTTGTAATGGCAAAACTCAGGGATCATTAAATTACTAGCAACAAGAAAATGGATAAATTGTGGGACAGTCATACAATGGAGTACTATTAAGTAGTTAAAATGAAAAAACTACAAATTACTAGCAACAAGAAAATGGATAAATTGTGGGACAGTCATACAATGGAGTACTATTAAGTAGTTAAAATGAAAAAACTACAAATTACTAGCAACAAGAAAATGGATAAATTGTGGGACAGTCATACAATGGAGTACTATTAAGTAGTTAAAATGAAAAAACTACAAATTACTAGCAACAAGAAAATGGATAAATTGTGGGACAGTCATACAATGGAGTACTATTAAGTAGTTAAAATGAAAAAACTACAACACCACAAATCAACATGGATAAATTTCACAAACATAATTATGGGTGACAAAAAAGCAAGTAACAGAGTATCATTTTTTTTTTTTTTTTTTTTTTGTCTTTTGTCTTTTTCCGTGTCCGGCAACGGATCGCAATCCTCAGTGTTGCCCCCGTACCGGACCGGGGACCGGCAATGGGATCGCAACCCTCGGTGTTGCTCCCGTGCCTCGCTCAGCCAGTGAGCGGGAACTGGTCTGTATGTGGGATCCGAACCCTCGGACGGGAGCACCGCCGCGCTTCCCAAGCGGCGCACTATCCAGTGCGCCACCGGGCCGGCCCCAGAGTATCATTTTTATTAGGTTTAAAAACAATACTATATGTTACTTACATAGATACACATATACGTAGCATGTATGAAAGCTTTCATGGGAATGACAGAATCCAAATTCATGAGAGTAGTTAACTCTGGGGAAGAAGAGAGGGAAAATGAGATTGCAGAAAGGTTCACAAGGAGCAAACTGAGTATGTAATATTAAAATCTGAAGCAAATATAGAAAAATGTTAAAACGTAATAAATTTAGGTGGTCAGTGCAGAGATGTTCATTACATTTTTCTCTGTAACATACATGCTTATAATACTCCCTATTAAACATTTTTAAGAAAAGTTATGCTTTCAACTCAAGATTCCATAAAAAGAACACAGTAAACCCAAAGAAATAAGGAAGAAATTAATGAAGGCATAAATATTGAGAGAAATAACTTTTAAGAGCAAGTTTATCAATAAAACCAAAAGCTGGTTGGATAAATCTAATCAAGAGAAGGAAAAAAGTCGCTAATTGGATACAGTACATGAGAATGAGAATATGAGATTAAAAAGTGTTAAGACCATGGACAATTTTATACCAATAAATTTGAAAACAGACAAAATAATAATAATTTAAAAAAAGAGGACCGTCCCGTCCCGTGGCTCACTTGGGAGAACGTGGTGCTGATAACACCAGGGCCATGGGTTCGGATACTTATACAGGGATGGCCGGTTGGCTCACTTGGGAGAGCGTGGTGCTGACACCAAGTCAAGGGTTAAGATCCACTTACCGTTCATCATTAAAACAAACAAACAAAGATATCTACCAGCAACCTGCAGAAAACACTAAGAATGAAACATACGATGCAATCAAAATAACTTCTGGGAAGAAATAAGTACCTCTGAGGCTACTATTGAGTGTTGTACTGGAGTGCCGGGAAAAGCCAAGATTGTTATCTACAGGTGGATTCTTACCTACAAAATCAAAGAGGCTTATCTGTCAAACATTAGAACACGAAGGTTCAGCGAAGTGACTAGATAGATCGACAATCAAAAACCACACTATCCTAGTGTACAGTAACAGTCCATTAGGGAAACTACAATAACAAAAACAGCTAGGGAAAAACCTGAGAAGAAATGAAGAAAACACCAAGAAAACTGCAACGCTTTACCTGAACAAGACTTGAATTAGTGGAGAAATAATCATACTGCTGGATGGATAGAAAGTCTCAATATTGTACTGGTATGCAATCTGGACAGACTAATCTACAAAAGTATGGAATCCCAAACAAATCCCGGGAAATCTTTGCCACATGGCGACAATCTACAACAGAATTCGGCCCCGTGGTTTGAGGCTCTTCACTGCATGAGCTGAACCGCTAAAAGCAGGGGTCCTCAGGGACTGAGCAGCCGCAGCTCCGACGCCCCTCCCTTCCAGGAGGCCCCGCCCCCACGGTGCACGCAGCCGCAGCGATAGGCGCGCTAGGCCGGAAGACCCGCCTCTGCTCACGACCGCTCTGTGTCGTAGGCCGGGCGTTTCCGGTCGGCGGGCGCGCGCGGCAGCCCGTCAGTCTCGCCCGCCAGCTCCGCATAGCAGGGTGCGGCGCGGCGTCGGGCTTTTCGGCGCTCGCCCCCCTCGTTTCTCAGCATCCT